AAACACATGATTAAAAATACTGATTTTTTTGTCCACAAAAGATTTGTCATGTTTACTGAAAGTTTGCCAAATTTTGTAAAGCTACATTAAGTACTTTCAGAGATATAGTACGGTTACATGTGGTCACAAGGTCATGTAAAATACAACACGTTTCAAAATGGTTAATGAAATATTTCAGTTCTCTTTCCCTCCACTTGATAATTATATTGATTGTTATCTCTTATAAATTACAAATTTTATATGATGTTTAAAAAACTGTTGCTCAAATTAATATTTTAAAACACTAGTTCTGTTATTTAAATTAGTTCCAGCATAATTAATAATTTTTGAACAGTTTTTAATATTTCTAAGTTCATCGCATCCCGATATTAAATTTACTCATGAGAATGAGGATGTTATCTTTTCTTAAGTGTCATAGTTAGTGAGGTTACTGATGTTTTTAAAGCTAAAGTATTTCAGAAGAGGAAACGTACTGATCTCCACTTGAATTAGCCGGAGCTCATCACAAGACTGACTCAAAAAGTTTGGATTATAAAAAACTGTACCGGCGATAGTTACAGGTATTTGTAGTTAAAAAAAAAAAGAGCTAGACATGGAAATACATCAACTGAAACATATCTTGGTAAATAGCAAGAATAATAATATTAATGTGGTTAAAAAATATTTAAGAAAGATGGCATAAAAAAAGAAAATGCAATCAAACAGTGTGTTATTCCATATGGACCTGGTTAATCAGACACATCGAAAAGAATGTGGCTGATTACCGAAGAGATGGATAAGCATTCTTCTGCAGAATGTATAGACTGTCATCGTATTTATATAGGGAAGACATGATGGATCTTAAGGACAAGAACAGCGGAACATTTTTGTGTTCCATCACTAGTGTACCAATATTTCAAAGATACACAACACTGTTAATAAAAAGTGTTAAAATTATTTGCCCTGAACCTTGTGTTAAGAAGCTTAAAATAAAAAAAGCTATTGTAAAATACCTGATGATGCCATGTTAAGGGTAATGAAACATAGTTTTAACGTATTTTTCTATCCCATTTTAATTTTCAAAGTATGTGGGATACCTCCAGTACTTAAACTTATAAGGTCTTTAAGTTCTACATACACTGGTGGTACAGCACTTATGGTGACACAGTTACAAGGTCTTTAAGCTCTACATACACTGGTGGTACATTATTTATGGTGACACAGTTACAAGGTCTTTAAGCTCTACATACACTGGTGGTACATTATTTATGGTGACACAGTTACAAGGTCTTTAAGCTCTACATAGACTGGTGGTACAGCACTTATGTGACACAGTTACAAGGTCTTTAAGCTCTACATACACAGCACTTATGGTGATACAGTTACAAGGTCTTTAAGCTCTACATACACTGGTGGTACAGCACTTATGTGACACAGTTACAAGGTCTTTAAGCTCTACATACACTGGTGGTACATTACTTATGGTGACACAGTTACAAGGGTTTTAAGCTCTACACAGACTGGTGGTACAGCACTTATGTGACACAGTTACAAGGGTTTTAAGCTCTACACACTGGTGGTACAGCACTTATGTGACACAGTTACAAGGGCTTTAACCCTATTGCCACGGGCATCCTATACTGTACGTCACAAGGTTTTAGTGTCTTACATTCAAAATTTTATTAAACTACTTTTTTTAAAGTTATATTAATTACTATAGCATAAAATCCTAGCTAATAATCCATATTTTAATATTATACAAGTATTAAGTTCTTAATTTTATATGGCAATATTTAAAAAAAAAACCTGAATACTCCCCTAGTGTGAGAAATAACATTTTCTTCTCTAGGTATCTCCTCTTCTTTTAATTTATTTACCACCCCTCTGAGAAATATGAAATTTAACATAAATTATTCATGATATTGTCATTGCTTAGGCAAAGATTAATTTTTATAGCCTTCAATTTTGTTTGGTTACAGAGCCATCAAATAGAAGTTCAGATCTTTTGCCACACCCACCTGTCACAGCCTCTCTTTCAGGATTTAATAGTTTTCTCTTACATTTAATTCTATATTATCTATAACCAATAGAAAGCCAAGGTTTTCATCTATCAAATGACATATTATATTACATTGTTTCCTGAACAGAGAATTGTCAATTTCTATTTTAGTGCACGCTTTGTTCCTACAGAAAAGATAATAACTAGTTGGGATGAATTTGTAACTGCTCTTGTCACACAGTTAGAAATCCAGAAACATTGTGATAGTTAGAGGAAATTGTGTGTTTTGTACATGTTATTACTCCATGTTCTTTGGTGCATTATTTAATTAAATAAAAATTAATTAGTGCATTACTACCATTAGTATAAAAAAAGTAGGGTTAAGTGTCATTGACAGTTGACAGCAAAAAAAGAAAAGGAAATGATGATGACTTAGGTAAGTACTTTATTTCTTGTTTATTCTTTATTATTATAAAACTAAAATTTAAAAATAGGGAATCTCTTTAGATTAGTTAAAGTTAGATTAGGTAAAATAAATAAACACAATTCAAAGGGTAATAGAACAATAAAATTTAATTATAAATAAAATTAAGAGTTTAAAGCTACTTAGGATAAATGAATGTAGTTTCATGTTATGATTTGAAGACATTCCAGAAAGAAAAAAAAGGGTAATTTAGATTTATTTTGATTTTTTCTGGTAGTGACAAGGTCGGTCAAATTCACCAACCTTGAATAGAGCTAGGGTAGGGAAAATAACGGATAAAATATAAAGTTTGACTGAAAACAAACATTTGAAATGTATTTAGGAGGTTTTAGAGTTTACACAAATCAAATCTGAGATTTTTGAGATGAATAATTTTTATCTTAACATGAAAATTATTTTGCACACGGACTGTTCATAACAAATACTCGATATATTCATGGGCAAATTTTTTTTTAGTTTAGTTTATTAAAAATTCTTCACCAAGAAATATGATTTTTTGTATCTGAAAGACTTATGATGTTTACTGAGAGTCTGCCAAATTTTGTGAAGATATACATATTATATTGAAAATTAGTAGTATTAAAACTATAAAGATTTTAAATGAGTACAAAGAGGTCACATGGTAGGTCAAATCGACCGAGCCCGTGTTAAGCTCTACACACACTTGTGGAACAGGACTTATGTTGACACAGTTACAAGCACTTTAAACTCTACAGACTTATGGTGACATAGTTACAAATTGGTAGTTTCCTAATACAAAACATCAACACTGTTTACAATTTTTAGCGTTTTGTTGATTTAAGCCAAAAGTCATCTCAAGTGACAAGTTTTCATTTTCTATTTAATCCAAAATGCACTTAACTGTGTAACCACAAATACTTATAGTTGAAGGTTTAAATGGTGTTAACATTAACATATGAACATAAGGGATGAAACATTGCTTTGATAATTAAATTTGATCAAAGGGAAAGATTTGAAAGTAGCTCTAAAAATTAGACACAGACTTGGCAGAATGTTGAAACATCCTTGTTACAATTAGAAACAGTGGCAGGTGAGGATTAAAGCAATGCTCAGGTTATTAGAAACAGTGAAAGCTAAGGATTAAAACATTGCTCTGATAATTAGAAACAGTGGAAGATGAGGATTAAAGCAATACTCAGGTTATTAGAAACAGTGAAAGCTAAGGATTAAAACATTGCTCTGATAATTAGAAACAGTGGAAGATGAGAATGAAACATTGCTCTGATAATTAGATACAGTGGCAGTTGAGGATTAAACATTACTCTGATAATTAGAAACAATGACAGCTGAGGATTAAAACAACACTCAAGCAATTAAAAACAATGGTAGCTGAGGATTAAAATTACTTTTTTGTTTATGTTATACCAATTAGCATAGCATAAAATCATGGCTAATAATCCACATTTCAATTTCTTAATTTTATAAGGCAAAATTTAAAAAAATCCTGAATTTTCCCTAGTGTGAGAAATGTGACATTTTTTTCTCTAGGCATCTCCTCTTCTCTAATTTATTCACCACCCCTCCATTAAGTACACAATTATTTTACTCACTATAAAATCGTCATCAATCAGACAAAGCATAATTTTTATAACCTTCAATCTTGTTTGGATATGGAGCCATCAAATAGAAAATCAGACCCTTGTTGGCATACCCACCTGTCACATCTTCTTTTTCTTTTAATAGTTCTCTCTAATGTTTAATACTATATTATTTATAACAAATAGAAAGCCAAGGTTTTCATCTATTAAATGATGTAGTATATTACATTGTTTTCTGAATAGAGAATTGTCAATTTCTCTTTTAGTACAAGCTTCATTCCTAGGGGAAAAATATCGACTAGCTTGGATGAATTTGTAACAGCACTTGTTGCATAGTTAGAAAGTAATAAAAATTGTGATAATTATGAGATGTCTGATTTTATGTTGTCTGCATGTTACCGTTCTATGTTCTTTGGTGCATTATTTAATTAAATAAAAATTATTTAGTGCACTACTACCCTTAGTATAAAAAAGTAGGGTTAAGTGTCATCGACAGCAAAAAAAGACTCGGATAAGTACTTTTTTGTCTCTCATGTTTATTCTTTATTTATTATTATTATAAAAGTAACTAAAAAGTAAAAATTGCAAACTTATGTTAGTTAAAGTTAGATAAGATGAAACAAATAATAATAAAATTATTTTACAAGGTACACTCATGAGCAGCTTGCAGGTAACTCGTGTAATGTAAATCGATAGCATAACATTAGCTGTACAATCGCCAAGTGATTTACAACTTACAATGGCCAGAAAAGTACTTAGACAGGGTTCAAAGGGCAATAAAATTTAAGCATAAATAGATGTATACTGTTACGAGTTTAAAGTTACTTAGAATAAACGAATGCAGTTTCGTGTCACAATTTGAAGTCATTCTAGAAAGAAGAAAGGGGTAATTTAGATTTATTTCAATTTTTTTTTGGTGATTTCGAGGTCAGTCAAATTGATCAACCTTGTATACTTTATTAAAAATCTGATTTTTTTTTGTATGGGTAAGACTTGTAATGTTTACTGAAAGTCTGCCAAATTTTAAGGTTCACACACTATATCAAAAGTTAGTAATATCAAACTATAATGACTATTAATTAGTGAACTGACAGTACTAAAGTAACAAGTCACAGACTACCATATGTTATACATAATGCTCAACATGTTTTTGTATCATGATTTTTCAACAAGGAAGTGCCTTTCCTCAACTTCAATAGATGGCCTGATGTTAGGGTTATTACTAAATCAATGTATCATGAGAATGTAACAATCAACAGTAGCACTAAACATTTCTTTACAAGATATTTCTTTCCTTCTTCAATGAGTCAGTGCTTTAATACCTTTATGTCCATAAGCAGGTTTTGTGAAATGAAACATTATGAATAGTGGAAAACAAATACAGGTGGCATGAACATTTAAAAAAATATTATACATATATTGTTAATATAAAAAATGCTGTCACTAGTACATTTCAAAAAATGCCTCTTCTACAATATAAAGTTCCACATTATCAACAGAATTTTAATGGTTAAGACAGTTTAGGTTTCTAGTTCTATGTACAAGTGTGTGTACTACCAACTTGGAATCCCAAATCTTGAAATCACTTTTTCTTGGTCAGCCAAATCTTTCTGTACTTTCTTCCTCATATAAAATATGGGACAGTCCCGACTGTTTCAAAACAAAACAAATTGTGAGATAATATCTTTGTAATGTTTGTACTATTACATACAATTAAAGGATTTTAAGAAAAGAACCAGAAGTGAGTAAGAACAAAATCATTAAAATAATACAAATATAACCCATAACAATACAAAGCAGCACGATATGCTACCTGTGGACAAGGGAGAGAATCAACCCCTCATAAGTTCTGAAGTTTACTGGTGGGCTGTTAGGGAACTATAATATCTTGCAACATGTAAGTCCTAGGTTCTGTTAGAAAAACTAGTCTTTCCATTACAATAGGAACTTTTAAATGTTACGAGTTACAGTTACTTTTCAAATTGTACCACAATTACCTTAAAAATGTTAACCTTATCAATCTGGTTTCCACTACAAATCAATTTATTAAAATATTTTTTCATAATTTAAGAATTTGGCACATTTTTTAATAAAAATGCCACATGTTATAATACTTTGTTTTTCAGCAAGGAACAATTAAGTTTATAAACAATTATTTAAAACAATACTAACAAAGCATTGTACACTGAATTTTAGGAAATTCTTCATAATTTATATAAAGATTATATTACACAAGAACGTATTTAAAGAACAAGTATGTCAGACAAGTGCATGTACGAAGCAAACGTAGCTTAACCCCATAATTCATCTTTTATTGGATTCCACATAAAGAATAAATTATATACTATCTAGTTTTATATTCAACATATAGCTGATGTCAAATAGTTTTGAAAGTAACTATTTACAGATAATAAAATCTAAGTAATCTAAAGACATTTTGCTCCAGCTGTTCATCAACTGATAGATTCTTCGGTTAGTGTGGACATCAGTAAATGAACACCTCAAATTTAGAACACATTTTTTTTCTTTATGAAGCTGGTTTTCAGTAAACAACAAATGAAGTTTTTACCTTACCTTGTACACAATACATCCTCGTGTAAGCTTCCTTGGCAACGTTGACACTGTGTCCATAGTCGAGCAAACTTCTCTTCAAGTGCATTCAACTGGACCATCTGTACAAATACACAAACTTTATATGACAGTGAAAAGTGTAAAATAAAATTTACGTGAATGTTTGCAATCTTCCTAAACAAAATGTTTACCTTGTGGAATAAGAAACAGATTGTAAAGATATAAAAAACAAACAATGGAGAAACAGTCTTACTGACCCTTTGGTGGACTACCTTCCTTTCAGCAAAAAGCTAGCAGTGTAA